ATGATATTTATCTTACAGTGAAGATACTCCTAAGATTTATATTCTGTAAACAAATATTATCTTCCACTAAATCTCTTATTATTTTAAAATAATTCAAACAGGAAACAAATCAACTAAATAGTTGACTAAAACATAAAAAGTCAGCCAATAGGAGGCTGTGATCGGAAATACAGAGCGATAACATACTTTTTACTTTGGCATTTCAGGATTTCCTGCGGATCTTGGAACAATAATCTACGTGTTGTTACAGATCGTTATTACTGCGCTAAATGCACTCTTTGTAGATACAGCCGGTAGAAAACCACTTTTATTGGTAACCAAAACACATTTAGCTACAAATTTGGTCACACAAGCACCTTTTAATTTCATGCTGCCAACTATTCGTGACATTCTAGTTTTTGTTGTCAATTTTATGAAAAAATGGACCTGACCAAACCGGATAAAGAATGCTTATGCTGACAGGTCTTTTCCAAACCGACCTTGACCGGACCAGTCCACTGTTATATTTTTCTTTTAGGTTTCAGCAATGGGATGTCTATTAACTGCGCTTTTGTTCTACCTGAAGGTGACAGTTGAATCCATGGGTATCCACCATCAGTACCTACTTCTACCCTTTCTGTTTCTAGCCGTACTCCCACTCTCCACCAGCTACCACCACCACCACCACCACCACCACCACCGGACTCTACTACAAAGCAGCAACGTTTCATGTCCTCTGAACTTTGATTTACTCCGTCGGCTCGCTGGCTCTCGTCGCCCTACTACAGACGATCCTGCAACCGCTTGCCGGTATGCTCAGCAAGGTCTCCGGTTGGTTGAAGCTGATTACCTTCTTCGTACAAACTCTTTTGTGCCACCGTTGAACTCCGCGGAGTCATGTTGGGCGTCATACCAAATCCTGGCTAATGACTTTTTCCCGAATTTTGATCTCCGGCAAACATGCCGCTTCCAAACGAACTGGATTGCTGTCCCCGGTTGTATGAATATAAGTACCCGTCAAGAATTCGAAAGCCATGTTTCTAGATCATCACTGATCCCCGTCATTTCAGCTTGTAACCAGTCGCTCTCTGGTTCCTCTTGTTCCGCGTGCACTGTCGCGCTTTCTACTCTCCAGGCATCATACCTTAACGGCGACTTTGTCGGAAACCTAACGGACTGCCGCGCTTATCCATTCATCTACGCTGCTGCCTTTGTTAATCCATTCGGCCCCACCGACAGAGGTACCGCAGCCTGCTTATTCTCCCTTGATATCGCTTTATCAAAATCCAAGAAGAAAAACAAAACACTTATAATTGTCATCGTGGTGGTTATCGTTTCAATCATTCTATTCGGAATTGCAATTGGATTTTTGTTCTATCGGAACAGAAAACTCAAAAGGAATCGAAGAACAAGAAACGAATCCAATACCGTCTCTGCTTTGGACTCCATTACCGGAAGCACAACGCTAACCAGATACACCATTGAAGATATCAAAGAAGCCACTAGAAACTTCTCGAGAGATAACATAATTGGAAGAGGAGGTTACGGAAACGTATACAAAGGCGTTTTACCTGATGAAACTGAAGTCGCGTTGAAACGATTCAAGAACTGTTCGGCTGCTGGCGATGCAAGTTTCACACACGAAGTGGAAGTAATCGCGAGCGTCCGCCATGTAAATCTGGTGGGTTTGAGAGGATACTGCACCGCCACCACTTCATTTGAAGGTCATCAACGGATCATCGTTTGTGATTTGGTTAAAAATGGCAGCCTCCATGATCATCTTTTCGGGGAGTATTCATCACGAGCCAACCTCAGTTGGCCGATCCGTAGAAAAATCGCTTTGGGTACAGCTCGTGGATTGGCCTATCTTCACTACGGAGCACAACCTGCAATCATTCACAGAGACATCAAAGCTAGTAACATACTCTTGGATGAAAATTTCGAGGCTAAAGTTGCTGATTTTGGGCTAGCTAAATTCGCACCCGAAGGAGCCACACATTTGAGCACCAGGGTGGCCGGCACAATGGGGTATGTTGCCCCAGAGTACGCGTTATACGGGCAACTGACCGAAAGAAGTGATGTTTATAGCTTTGGGGTTGTGCTTTTGGAGCTTTTAAGTGGTAAAAAGGCTCTTATTGGGGTTGGGGATGGTGATGGTCAACCGGTTCTTCTATCTGATTGGGCTTGGTCAATGGTGCGAAAAGGTACACCTTTAGAGGTAATCGATGATACTATGCCGGAATGTGGTTCACCTGAAATCATGGAGAAGTATGTGTTGGCGGCAGTTCTTGCGTCTCATCCTCAGTTATATGCTCGGCCTACAATGGATCAGGTGTTGAAGATGTTAGACACGGATTTGCCAGTTCCTTCGATACCGGAAAGGCCTATTCCGCTTATAGCTGGAATCGAGGATATCGAGAAATCTGTTAGTAGTAGTGGATCGGGTCGTTTGTCTACTCCTAGAGGGTATCAGTCGTTTGAGAGAGATGGACAATTTTCCACCAAGAGGGAGCAGCACGAAGGAGCCCGTCTTTCGGGTGGCAGATAGCACACCTCATACAGGTACTGTTACATGATTTTATTCTTATTTTTTCCCACTCGAATCCTTATGTAGTTAATTAAGCTATGAGTTTGAATCATACACTTGTATATTATGTTGTAAAGTACGATTTTGTAAACAGAGGAAACCTGATCTGATGGCATTCATCGTGTCTTTGAAGGAAATTTCCACTTCGATTCGTTACGATTTGTAAAAGTAAAAGAACAAACAAGGTTTTTTTTTTCTTTGCAAAGGAGCACATAAATAGGGGAATTTGTCCTAAATTGAAATATATTGAATGTCAACACGTGATCAAACTACAACAATTCTTGGGCGTACTTTGTTGAATCTTATGGCATTTCATTATCATAATACATTTTTCAAACAAATTGTTGAGCACATCAATGTATTTGATGCATAATCTTATTCCTATTTGATACATTGTACTTTTTATTTTTATTTTTTTTATCTTAATATATTAAGGCAATGTACTGTCTGTTTTGTTCACTGGTTTGTTCTAACACTTGTTCAATAGTGACATGTCGTTAGAGAAGTGTTCAACTACAAATATCTTATATCAACATCAACACTCATTAATAACAATATATTATAAAACACATGTTAAGATAATGATATATTATGAGACGAAGTAGCATTTGTTTGTCACATTATCTATAACCATACTAACCTTTTAATATATATTTTTTGCAGGCCTGCAAAACTTGAGATCTAAAATAGTATTAAACTAATGAAAATGACAAAAATCTATGCAAATTGTGTATAGATATTTCATATTTTAAAGGTAAAGGATCTTGTATTAGCCATGACGACAACATAACACAACTTGCAAATTACCAACTAATCTCTTTCAAGATCTTTGGAAACCAAATATTTTTATTCCAAAAATTTTAAATTAACTTAAAAAATCTTAATAATCAAAATAAATTCGTCTAAACAATAGATTAGTGGTTGATATGATGAAGAATGCGAAAAATGGAATATTTGTTGAAACAATTTTATGAGAAAACTATTTATTTTGCCAAACAGAAAGGAATAAATAATATTTCAAATAATTATAGTACGTGCTTAATTATTAAAAAAACGTGTTAGAAAATGTTTTTTAAGATATTTTTTTATTGGTTTGACATTAATAATGTTTTTTAGAACAACATTTGACATAATAAATAAGCTTTATAATTGGCTCGACTTAAATAATTTTATTTGTTATTTTGGGAAAAAAATATAGTTCGTATTATATATATTTATAAAAACTATACTGTGAAAGTAATAATCTCTTTCTTCAAATGAATGAGTATTACTCATATAAATATATGTATGTATAAAACCAAATTGTCAATGAAGAAACGACTTGCTTCACATATATGACCTTTAGACACATAAAAACCCCACCTATTAACAAACAACATCAAACACCAAACGCCAAAGAGTTGGTGAGCAAATGCATCAAATAGGAAAAAAAAAACAAAGTTTCAACATATATAACCAAAGCTAATACCGACAATAAGCAAATACCCGTACAATACGGTAACACAAACTAGAACAACATAAATAAAGGATCTAGCTCAGTCTACTCGGCTACCCTAGTATTCAGGACCGGTCCTGAAAGATGAAATATTCTTAAAGACTTAGGACGAACAAGAAAAAAAGAGCCCTTATCTTTATTATAATTTTGTATTTCTAAATAAAAATATATAATGAAAAAAATTGAGCCCTGTACAGCTGCCCACTTTGCCCCCTCTAAGCCCCCATGCTAGTATTAAGTCTCCAAGCGCTACTCACTCTTATCGGAGGTTATGTCATGTCTTCTGAAAGGCCTAACTCCATATCTAGCCTAATACTATCCTTTCACTTCCTTTAAGGTGGTCTTCTCCTCCTGGAACTCTTCACTCTCTCCACGTCGTAATTGTCACCGTTGGAAGCCTTATGGATAAGGCGAAACCACCGAAGTCTACCTTCTCTTAATTTTTCAGAGATTGGTGCAATTCCTAAAGAACTCCGAGTAGTTTGGTATCTTGTCGAGCAAAGTTATACCATTGAAGAGTTTATTAGGGAAAATAAATGTTCTATATAATTAAACTAATCTATTAAACTTTATGATGCACTAAAAGCAAAATAAGTTTTGTGCAATGGAAATCCGTCTAAAAGGAAAAAGCCCTTCGTTGAAACTCGAAACTCCAAATCTTTCGCTATATAGTTTTAGATGCTGGCATGCAGTACTTCACAATAGGTCCAGATAACTGCCATTATATTGATGCACACAAGATACCAAGAAAGAACAACCCATGTGCAAATTTAAAAACATCCATCGATCTAATCTTTAAACACTACAAACAAACTTGTTTTTAGTCGACCTGTCCATAATATTCCTCTCAAAAAAAAAATAAAGAACAGTTTGTGTTGTTTTGCTTCATTTTCATATATAAATGCAACTAGCTAGCTCAATAAATCTAAAGAGCTTTCATTTTAGATCCTAGTTTCCTCACAATTTTGATATGGCGAATCAAGATGAAATCCGAGCCCCACTCATCGCTCAAACTGTTGATGAAAAACATGAAAGCATCAAGCAGAGCAACTTCATGGTTTATCTCAGCACCTTCGTTGCTGTTTGTGGCTCTTTCGCGTTTGGATCATGCGTAAGTTTTAAGTTCGCACCATACACACTAAAACCATAAATTAAAACTGCTTGTAATTATGTAGACGCCTGTGTATGTTTATTTCTCAGGCGGGTTACTCCTCGCCTACTCAATCAGCCATCACAGAGGATCTAAATCTGTCCTTGGCTGAGGTTAGTACGTTCAGATTCAGCACAAGTTTTATAATGTCTAAATAATACTAGAGACGCGTCTAACAGTATCGCTTTTTGCAGTACTCATTGTTTGGATCAATCTTGACATTTGGTGCAATGATCGGGGCGATCACGAGTGGACCGATAGCGGATTTTGTTGGCCGAAAAGGGGTAAGTGCATGCTTTGGGGTTCGAATCTTGTATATAATGCAAAAAATCATAACCGAGATCCATGTATACACTTACGTACAGGCATTGAGGGTATCGAGTTTTTTCTGTTCAGTGGGTTGGCTAGCGATTTACTTTGCTGTGGTACGTACATAATCTTATCCTTTTGAAATTGTAACTAGTTATGCATGGCATGCATGAAAGAGGTTTGTTTTATTACGATATATATATAGGGGCCTGTGGCTTTGGATATCGGAAGACTAGCAACAGGATATGGGATGGGAGTATTTTCGTATGTTGTACCCGTGTTTATAGCTGAAATCGCGCCAAAAGATCTACGAGGCTCGTTGACAGCAGCAAATCAGGTTCAGATCGCTATTTACTATATAGTACATTCAAACTGAAATAAATTTATGTTGAATTTGCGATGTACGTATTATATACCATGTATCCAGCTTATGATCGTTGCAGCCGTGTCGCTATCATTTGTGATTGGAAACGTGACGCCATGGAGGATATTGGCCTTGACAGGTTTGTCAAACCTTCAAAACACAAAACTATTTATTAATAACTACTCAAAATTTTGTATAAATTTTGTTGCATTAATTTAATTATATATATTACTCATTTAAAGTTATAAAATTTGTAAGTGAGAAAATTAGTAAAATTTGGGTACCCGGGGTCCTATAATCCAGAACCAGTCGGGACTAACTCCGGGTATTAATTTGGACCGAGTACCAGACGAGCCAAAGGTCACTAGTCATGATTTTGTTACTCCTTGAACCATGAAATTGTATGATTGCAGGAGTTGTTCCATGCATTGTTTTGGTGACGGGATTGTTTTTCATACCCGAGTCTCCAAGATGGCTGGTAAGATCTTCCATCTGCTTGTTTTTCAAACCATATATCCGAATTCAAAAATTCGGATATCAAAATGAAGTTTGGTATACGGACACCCTTATATACTTGTAAAAAAGATCAATAAACAACGTTTGACAAACGTGCAGGCTAAGACAGGGAACCATAAAGAGTTTCAGGCTGCACTTAGGAAACTTAGGGGGAAAGATGCCGATATATCCGAAGAAGCCGCTGAAATCCAGGTTCGTGTTTCATAAAGAGTTTTGTTATAAGGCATTTCAACCCATTTAACGTAATTGTACTACAGGATTATATAGAAACACTTGAAAAGCTTCCGAAAGCCAAACTATTGGATCTATTTCAGAAAAGATACTTGCGATCTGTCATTGTAAGCTCATGCATCTTGGTGCCAAAACATATATATATATATATATATATATATATATATATATATATATATATATATATATATATATATATATAATTAAGTTTACTGTTTTTTGTCTTGTGATATGAATTGAAGATAGGAGTGGGGCTAATGGTTTGCCAACAATTTGGGGGAATCAATGGTATTTGTTTCTACACAAGCAGCATTTTCGAGTCTGCAGGTATGTTATGTATATACAACGCATGCATTCAACCTTAATTTATCCTTCAATACAGAGGGATAGCTTACGCACTGTACTTTGTTTGCTTTATAGGATTTCCTGCGGATCTTGGTACAATAATCTATGCGTTGTTACAGATCGTTATTACTGCACTAAATGCACTCTTTGTAGATAAAGCCGGTAGAAAGCCGCTTTTATTGGTAATCAAAACACATTCGACATAGTAACTACACATTTGGTCACACAAGCACCATTCTGTATTGACCCTTTTAATTTCATGTGTTGCCATACTATTCTATATTGACCCTTTTAATTTCATGTGTTGCATACTATTCGTGACATTCTAGTTTTTGTAATTAATTTAATGAAAAAATGGAGTAGATATGACCCAACCAAACCGGATAAAGGACTCATGTGGCTGATCCAGACCAGATCATCAGGTCTTTTACGGACCGACCTTGACCAGGCTTTAACTGGACTGGTCCACTAAATAGCCCAATGTGTCATGTTCGGTGTACCATCAACCATGATCCGTTTTAAGGTAAAACTATATATATATATATATATATATATATATATATATATATATATATTTTTTTTTTTTAGGTTTCGGCAATGGGATTGGTTATGGGATGTCTGTTAACTGCGCTTTCTTTCTACTTGAAGGTAACATTTCACATTTCATTCATTTTTTTTTTATTATTATTCATTCTGTAATGAATGAATATTTTTCAGTCTTTAATTATAATGTTGAATTGTGTAACGTCGTCATCTTGTTCTACCAGACTTATGAAATTGGACTATCAGCAGTACCTGCACTTGCTGTTACCGGCATACTGGTAACTTTAAACTAAGGCTATATGTCTGAAAAATAAAACTATTAATTTGATATACGAGCTCTAAAATAGCTTTCTTGAACACGTACACACAGTTATATATTGGGTCATTTTCAGCTGGAATGGGAGCAATTCCATGGGTTATAATGTCGGAGGTACCATTAATTTTCACATATCTAATTAATTCCACGTAGGTCCATGGAAATAACAACTCTTGCTAATTTGTATCCAGATATTCCCGATCAATATAAAAGGAGCGGCTGGAAGCCTTGCGACTCTGGTAAACTGGTTTGGTGCGTGGGCAATCTCATTCACCTTCAACTTTCTCTTGAGCTGGAGTTCATACGGTAAGTTTACGCAACAATATACACGATACCAATTAAGTCAGTTATATACATAACACCACGTTTTCAGGTGTGATTGTGTGTGTGATTGATGTGTTTTCTTGTGTGATTGCTTTTATAGGGACATTCATCATTTACGCCGCGATAAATGCGTGTGCCCTTGTGTTTGTGATAAAGATGGTACCTGAAACAAAAGGAAGAACATTGGAGCAGATACAAGCTGCCATTAATGGCTAGAAGCGACATAAAATCGACCTCGTTCTGACTTGTTGTTTCCCAGCGCTTTTGTTTATTTTTTTAGGTTTTTAAGTTTTTGAATTTTTCTACCTTAAACGGGTGATTAAGTGAAGGAGATGTTGAGAAGAACCACCCAATCTGAATGCGACCATACATATTTGATTATCTAGGAATTAGGCGAAGACGACGCATCCAAATCTTCCAAATTTAAGAGTCTATTTTGAGACTTTGGCTAGAGCAATCCATGAGTAACCTCAGTGAACAAAATTGCAAAAATGTTTTTTCACTTAAAAAAATGTGGTTTTGCTCTAAAAACATCAATATATCTTATGCATTTTGGTTTCATCTCATTAACTTTATAGTTTGACTCTTAATTTTTTTTTTAGATAAAACTTTAAAAATGATCCATGTGGTTTTCGAAAATATCAAGTTTAGTCCCTTAGTTCAAATAACCTCGCGGAACGTCCCTGTGGTTTCAAAACTTTTAACATTTGGTTCTTTCGGCTAACTCCGTTACTATTTAACCGTTAAGTCAGAGATATTTTTGTCATTTCACTACACAGGGACCATTTATGAGGTTTTTAATTATTTTTTTTAAAATAAATAAATAAATAATATTTAATATGGAAGGGGTCCCACCCCCTCTCTCTCTAATAATCGATCAAAGGAAGGAAATGAAAGCGAAAAATGAATACGATCGAAACAAATGTGCGCCTTCGGTGGTTCATCTTTTGTGCAAAAGGGAAGAGGAAACTAGAGGCCCAATCAGATGGATTCGTGGAGAGATTTAATCGCACAGAGGAGGTACCACCTCCATTGCTTAGTTGGTCCGAAGAAAAGAGAATGGACGAAGCAGCGAGGCTTCTCTCTTTCGTTGTCAGATACATGAAAGGGTAACGACCATGAAGAAGAAGCAAGAACGTCGATGTTAACAATCTCAAAGTCAAATCCAACGTTGATTTTACTAGCGAAATGGATCAAATTCTCACGGGTTAACCCGAATTCCAGCTGGTCGTGGCTTGAAGGTGAAGCAAAAGCTGTGATTTTTAACGAGGAAACGCCATTGTTACGTAAAGCAAGCTCTTGCATAAGTGAAGCCCATTGACCTCCATAACCAATATCGAAATCGATGATGTGAATCTGATCAAACCCATTAAGGGATTCAAGTAATGCTTGATTACAAGTGAAATTAGCGAACTGAATGAAAGGGGAGATCTCTGAGAATGATTTATAAGCATCGATCTTGAAGATTAAACAAAAAGGTGAAGCGGTAGGGGTAGTTTGGGGATTAATATTGTTGAGTATCGAGTTTGTGAGTAATTGAAGAGCTTCTTTGAAATAAAAAGTTGCCCTTTCAAAAGGCTTACCGGCTGGTGAAAGCTGATGATTATTGTTCCCAGATTGGATCAAATATGCTGCTTTGAAAAGCTTGTCAATGATCCCTTGCTGGTGTTGCTGCTGATGATGATTAATGGCTACCATTTTCTTCATTGATGAAGATTTTTGAAGCAATTGAAGTGGGTTCGGAGTTGGACCCGAATCAATAAATGGGTTCTTATGCATTGAAGGGTTGTACTCTAGGCTTCCTGGGTTGTGCCTTTTGGGTTGCGGTGGCATCAAGTGTTCATGCACACGATGTGTTTGCTGAAATGCTTAAGCATAAATCAAACCTAGTACATATAAAGTTTTTTACTTAGCCAAGAAATCATTTTCCTAACTGATTTAAACTTAGTTCCTTGTTTTTGTTACTGTAAACATGAATTCATATAAATATTTTTGGAGATGATGTTTCGTCATTCTCTTCTTGATGAACATTCTTTTGCTGATGAACTTGTAATCGTGGCTTTAAACAAAGATTCATTGTGTTAAATCGGTGGCTTTGTGAAGGCTTGTCAAGTGTGTATGTGTGTGAAAGATGCAGGTGAACATAAAGAAGAAGACCATAGGGATAAGATGCAGAGAGAGAGAAAGAGAGAGATGGGGTGGGACCCCTTTCATATTAAATATTATATATTTATTTATTAAAAAAAAGTAATTAAAAACCTCATAAATGGTCCCTGTGTAGTGAAATGACAAAAATATATCTGACTTAACGGCTAAATGCTAACGGAGTTAGCCGGAAGGACCAAATATTAAAAGTTTTGAAACCACAGGGACGATCTGTGAGGTTTTTTGAACTTACGGACTAAACTTGATATTTTCGAAAACCACAACGATAATTTTTGAAATTTTGTCATTTTTTTAAGACACAAATTTACCTTTTCAATGTCATTTCTATAATTGTGTGTTTTTACCAAACCATTCATTTATGTATCTTTTCTTTTTAATTTTTATTGAATTAGTATATATTAATTCTTTTAATTATTTTTAGTTTCTTTTTATTGGATTAACTTATTTAATTGGATTATTATATATTAATAAATAATATTTTTAATACATAATATTTATATATTAATAAATAAATATTATTTAATGGATTTATTTTTTTAATTAATCATTTTTAATTTTTGTATTAGATTTATTTTATTGGATTACTATATATATATATATATATATATATATATATATATATATATATATATATATATATATATATATATATATACACTTTTTTGAGTTATTATACATCAATAAATTCTTTTTAATTTTGCATCTCTTCTTTTTAATTTCATTAAAATAGTATACATTATTTTTTTTAGTTCTTTTTATTGGATTAATTCCTCTTTTAGTTATTTTTAAAATTTTTATTTGTTACCTTTATTATTTTAAACAAAAAATCAAAAAAAATCTCACACACCCCACCTCTCGTAATTTATTTTAAATATTTGGAAGATAACATATTTTGGACAATACTACCACAATCACCCGGTCTGGCAGTAGTGGTGTTCTTCAAAATATGTCTCAAAATTCGGTCGACAAAAAAAATTAATCCAATAAAAATGAAAAAAAAGAGAATTAACTAAAAAGAATTAACAATCCAACAAAGTAATATTTATTAATATATAATAATCCTATAAAAAAGAATTAATCTAATAAAAAAGAAATTAAAAAATAAAAGAATTAACATATAACAATTCAATAAATTTAAAAAGAAGAGATGCAGAAATGGTCCATTTGGTTTGTTAAAAAGACATAACTGCAGAAACGGTATATATGGAAAAAATTATTATTTTAAAAAGTTAATAGTCAAGTTGTTAAAGTTAATGCGATATGATCAAAACCACACAAGGTATTCAAAATTAGACCATTGATGCACCATTAAGAGTTCTTGGACAAAAACCATATATTTTTAACAACCATTAGGACCATTTTTGCAAATTTGTTATAATATAATTGGAATTTATATACGTGATTAAAGCCAAAATGATGCCTACAACTCATGAGAAGCTTGATATGGAAATGAACTTAGGCATAAGGAGAAGTGACTTTTAATTTTAGTGTAAGAACTTCAAAAACCAACCAAACTAATTATACAACCAGAATCTGAATCGATTTGATCCATTCGATAACCAAAATAAAGACCATCTTGTGATAACCCTAAAACAAAAATTGAAACAAATAGCACATTTCGAACCCTTTTAGTGATGTTCGTAACTCTCTCTCTCTCTCTCTCTCTCTCTCTCTCTATATATATATATATATATATATATATATATATATATATATATATATAAAGGTGATGTGACATTTGCATTGAAATGTGTATTTTATCACCTTGAAAGGAGTGTCATCGGATAAGTCGGTTGTTTCCAGCTTATCTGTGACAACCCGAATATTTCGTATATATAATTTCAGCAGTCTATCACTTCATTTGAAAATCAAATTCATTTCCGCCATCTTTTAGCCCAATTTAAAATTCGTATTAGTACTCTGAGCCGACTACACTTGAGGATCAAGTGTTAGAAAACCACCACTAAAGCCCTAACATCCAAAATCATGCCATAAACTCCATACGATGGAGTTTACGGCCGTAAACATGGAGTTTACGGCGATAAACTTTGGGCGGTAAACTCTCTTGGATAGTAAACTCACCATATATAAGGAATGAGTGGTCCTCCTTTGCACTCTTTTTCCACTCTTGAAAGTCCCTCTCTCTACTATCTCTCTTCAAACTCGAGTTTTTATTTATTTATTTATTTATTTATTTATTTATTTTATCAAGAATCACCAATTGTAAGTGTTTTTCTCCCTAATTTGTTCATGCAACACTTATACTAGTAATCTTACACCATTTCCATCCATGAAATCATTCAGTTGAGTTGATCTACTAGTGTTCTTGGCCTAAATCATCCATTTCAAGCTCCTAGATTGTAAGTATTCCTATCCTAACTCATTGTACACTAGGATTAACATGTTTAGGGCTTAGAAAACACCATGAATCAAGGATGAATGAGAGTTTACGGCCAAAGAATGTTCTTGGGCCGTGAACTCCCTTTTTGGGTGCAAAGTTGCCCTTTCTTCCTTCCTTATGCCTAGAACTCAACATAGAACCAACCACCATTGAAGTAGGGACCTTAAACATCAAAGAAACCAAGTCCTTATAGATTTTACGGTCGTAAACCCCCAAGGAAATGGTCCTTTGGCCGTAAACTCCCTAAAGGGGTCATATGGTGCACTAACACCCCTCTATGGCTTGTATAAATGACTAGAAACTTGTAAGCTTAACCTAGAAACACCAAGACATGAAATGAAGGGATAAATATGAGTTTACGACCGTAAACTCATATGTTTACAGCTGTGAACTTCCCCAAAGTCCATTTGGAGCCCTAGTCACTTCCTATGCCTTATAATTGAGTCTAATTTGCTTCCCTAAGTGATATTGGACTTTTAAGCAACAAATGGCACCACTTCCATGAGTGTACGACCGTAAAATCATGGGGGAAGTGGTCTTGGGGCCGTAAACACCTCTATAGGTCATCCATTTGAAGAGTAAACTCCAATGTGAGGTCATACTCTCTTTATATGAAACCCTTGGTACTCCTAGCACTTGTGGTAAAGTGTTTCGTGTATTAGTATGCCTTTACTTGTATAATTAGTTATTAAATGACTAATTAGATACCATTATGTATCACTATATGTTACATAGGATCCGTGGGTGTGTTCAAGTCCTTACTTAACACCTAGCATTCTACCCGACACTTCCATCCATTCACTGCAGGTGAGTTCATACCCCTACACTTTTCCGAGTTTTTCATGTTTTCAGGGGGAATACAAGCAAATCATAAAGGATTTCATAATTTAAAAGCTGATGTAATTATAACGA